ATATTCTCCAAGATTAGCCAAACTAGCCAGCTAGCCAAAGTATATATAAATTGCTAACCTATACCATTCATAGTATAATACCATGTTGAAAGTGTCACAACTAATATAGTACAAGCTTCTTTTTCTAGTTTTTATTGAATTAAGGTACAAGAAACTAGCAGTCCAAGGTTCCAGTGTGTTTTGTAGTTACCCACAAGTCTGGGACATTGTAATCGCTTGTGCTTTTTTTCCAGTGATGTAGGACATTAATATATCCAAAGAGTTTAAAGAGAATTTGATACTAAATGATCCTTTCAGCAGTAGTGTTGCTATAGGGAAAGCCACTATAAAGTGAAAAAAGCTATGAATTTTTGCAATAGAACAGAGGAGTGTATTCATGTAATAGTGTATTCTGGCACATATATTGCCTGCTGGATATAGGCAAAGTTATAACAGTGCAGAGCAGTAAGATTCCTATCACTTAAATAAGCCTCAGTAGGATTAACAGTTTAGGTGTTCTTCTACCTGTCTCAACTGTGGGAGTCGATCTTTTGGGAGCCTTCAATTTACTTAGGAAGTCAGTGATTAGGGCACGGAAAGAGGAGGATGGGTAAAATTAAGTATTAATTGAGGCTAGCAAGAGAGTATGAAAATGACTTTAATCTAGGGTCCTACTCAGGACAGGGGATTCCAGTGACTAGCCTAGTGTCCAGGCTAATTTTCTAATTGAGTAATTAATTGCTAATGGCTAATTGCTGGCCAATTTCAACAAACTTAAAGGACAGCTTGAAACATCAACAATACCAAGTTTCTGTACATTTCTTAGAATCATAGCATCACTCAGGTTGGAAGGGATGCCTGGAGATTTCTAGTTCTTACTTAAAGCGGGATCAACAGTGAATTCAGAGCAGGTTGCTCAGGGCTTTGTCCGGTCAAGTCTTGAAAATCTCCAAGGCCAGAGATACGCCACAGCCTCTCTGGACATCCTATTTCAGTGCTTAATTGCACTCATAGTTTTATGCCATTTGCAAACTTGATTGGAGTGCATGCCATCTCCTCCTACAGGTCATTAAACATACAAGATATTAAACAGGATAGCTGTCGGGATAAACGTCTGAGAAATTCTGATTGTAACTAGCCTCCAGGTAGAATACAAACCATTAACTACTGCTTTTCAAGCCTAAAATCCAGCCAGTTTTTGCTCATCTAGTAGTCCACGGACATAGACCACAATGGCAAACTTGGGTATCAGGGTGCTGGGAAAGACCATATTAGAAGCCTTACCAAAGTCAAGGTACATGACCGCTGCTGCTCTCCCCTCATCCACAGATTTAGTCATTCCATCATCGATGGCAGTCTGGTTGGTCAGAGATGACTTGTCTAGGTCCAAGATTGAGAAACTTCTCTTTTTGGACTTACCCTTGGACGTACCAAGGGTAAATCCAGCAGCAGAAGCTTCTCATTCTTCTGTTCCATAGAAGACCGCCATATGTTTGAGCTACTCTTTCAGGTATTCATGTTCTCATGGAAACAGGTTTACAGGTAGAAGAAAGAGGCCTGAATCGGTGCTCCCGCTAAGAAAAAACTGCCGTGTGGACTTGGGAGTTATCTGTTCTGTTTGGCCAGCTGGCCAATCTTCACGTGCCTCCTGGCAGGCCATTCAGCACACACCTCTTGGAGTCAGCCACAGCATCGCGTAGCTGAGGGTTGTGAACAGGAAAAGGAGGGCTGCGTGGGTTTTAGAACACGTATTAGTAGGTACACTGCTCATTTCCAAACTGGGCATAATGAATTATAGCTATGAATATAAAGTAGTAAAGCAAGAATTCAGGCCTCCTTTTTGTCCAAAAGAATATAAGAAACTGGTCAAGGGGCATGTTCCTCTCCATTTGACTAAAAATACATAGTTGTATTGTTACGTTGATTTTACAATACTGTCTGTTAATAGTAATTGTAAACAATGTATTTGAGGGCGAGATTTTCAGACAAGAAACTCGGAGTAGAGGGAGAAATCTGTTCATAACTTACCCTCTTGTGCCCAGGTATTTTAACATCTGGAATGTTGTGCTGCCTCTTGTAATACCTCTGCAATACTGTAACACAGCAGGATGCATTAATGAGAGTTTCAACCTTAAACCCACAACATGAATGAAATTTATAGTTGTCAGGCCGTTAACATTATTCAAACATAGTTTTTGTGGTTTCAATTGCCATTTTATGTTCGTGTAGGAAGAAAAGTCATTGTGTTGACTAGCCATGAGGACAGATTCTTCCTTGGACTTGAAATTTCTATAAACCAATTAAGTATTGTTTATTACTCTTGACAGCATTCATCGCGTGTATTACAGCGTTGGGGTTTTTTTTGTACTTATATAAAAAGCAGTGCTAGAATCTCTCTGTTAACATTTCAGCTGTTTTAATATTCTTGAGAAAGTGCCTTTCTCACGTTTTGGAAAATGCCACAAAAATGTTCAAAGCAGAGAAGAAAAATGTATAAAACATCCAAGTATCTTTTTGTAGAATCGTAAGTGCTGTCTAATATTGCACCTGATGAGAAAGTTTGTTTTCAGATATTTCATGTTTCCTACTCTTGTATCTCAGTGTGGTCTTCTGACTTAACTTGTAGAGGAAAATGGTTGAAGAGCTTAGAAAAGAACAGAGAATTTATTGAAGGCAAAGATTTAAGAAAAAAATGTGGTGAACTTTGTGATTAAGTCACTCTGTAGTAAACTAAAATAGTTCAATCTGCAACTGATTAAGTTGAAAGAAAAGAAGGGAAGTCAATATGTAAAAAAGTGCACGAACAGTTACTCTTTATGGCAAAGAAAATACAATTTGTTTCTTCTAGCAACAAACAAGCAAGCACACAAAATTTACAGCGTTGAGAAGTTGGTTTCTTTATTACCTTAGGTTTTGTGGTAATTCCAGAGCAATCTCGGGAAGTAGTAAAAATAAATCTATCTGTCTCTTGCTGTATCAACCTCGGTATTAGCAACTTCCCTATGTTGTGTCCGTCTTAAAGAATTTCTCCACGGCTCTTAAAAGTGCAAACTCTGTCTCTGCGTTCAATGTTATTCGCTGCTGCCAAGCCTCTGATAGCTACAATCTTGCGCTCCGTTCATCATGTCTCTTTGTTCTGGAAGCCTGTGTTTTGCTTTCATAATTACTTTTTTTCCGGCTCTCATTATTTTCCTCCCATCATCGCAGCACGTGACTTTTTTTTTTTTTTTGGCCTATTTAACAACAAATATGAATGGAGAAGCAATAGATATCAGTGTATTTTGACAAAGCCTGTGACCTCTTTGTAACTGTGCCTCCAAATTTTAATTCACTTTCTGTGTTGCAATACCATGAACTTGGTGCTGTAACTGAAGTCTTGCTGTTCCCAGAAGACAATGTTGAAGCCATGTGGGCACAAAGAACTACTTAGGATTTTCTGCTGGGTCCCAGCACAAGTTGAGGTGTACTTTTAATGTTAAAGGTCGATGGTAAATAGGTGATCCTAGTCTCAATGAGTAATTCATAGTGTCCAAAGGAAAGAATTATTGAGCTATATTTCATGTGAAACGGAAGGGGACTGGCAAAGAAATCTGGCTTTCGCTCTTTAAAAATGTCTCTCGCTGGTTCTGTCGTAATGTGGGAAGGCATCTGTTGGGCTTTCTCTAGGGATGGGCTGTTAAGGTTTCTATCAGCTGTGGTTCAAATATTTGTAATCAGTGACAGCATTTATGATCCAATCTTTGTTTGGACCCTGAAATAACTGGCCGTTTGGATCATGGACGGAGCAAGTCAATGCTTGCTCAGATATCTGAAAGATATTCTGAGACTTTGGGGATCACACTTGTGGTTTGATCTAGCCCCAGCAGTTCATAGAGGCCCTCTTTTCACGCTGTGAAGTGGGAGAGAAAACCAGTCCCTTAACTTTATGCCTGCCTAAACATTTGTATCCAGGAGCAGTAGAGGGACACTTCTCCTTGCAGCTCATCTCTTCTGCTCAGTGACACTTGCTTGATTGCAGAACTTTGAACACTTTCCATCTGTATCTGAAATGCAGAGGAAATAAACCTGAGCGATGCTCTGCTGGTTTGGATAGCACTTATCTCCAAGACAAGACCGCTTTTATACGAATGAACAACACTGTATTTGTGCCCATGTTAGAAGTGGGATTTTAGCCTGTAAATCACTTTCCGGGCTTACCTTACTGGCAACATCTTGAATATCTGTTTTGTCTGTTGTTAAATAACTCTTCACAAAAATGAGAGATGACGAAGGATCACGGTACGGTTCAGATCTGTGTTAAAGTGACTTGAACAGTGATGCAAGTGAGAGTGGCTTCTCACAGTAGTGTTTTTTGGGGTTTTTTTTCAGTCTAGCATTGACTCATTTGGTGGTGTTAAAGTGCACTTTCTACTTATCCCCAGAGGAAAGTTAGTATTCTTTTAAGTGAAACAATTTTAAAAGCAGAACACAAACCTAAAATAAGCCAGTGTTCTCTAGAGTTCTCAGAAGGTGTAGATTTATTTACTGTAGTTAAATCATAATTAGTTCTCAGGGGATAGTGTATCTTTTAAACTGCTTTATTGCCACCGTATTGGTTTTCCAAATAATCAGAAACTGCTGCTGTTATATTCTGTAGTATGAACAAAAATTTGCTTTAAGTAGAAACAAATGTCTAGAATTGCTAGTTGTCACTTGCTGAAGATAGTGACATACAAAAAATAAGCACTTCAAGAAACTGTGAAAAAATACAAAATGTATGTTTTCAGAAGGCACCTTAAATGCACTACTGTTACAACTTTTTTCCAACAAAATAGATACAGTAATGTTTTACTTGATAATTTTTCAATTCATCTTTTTTAAAATATTTGAATGCTTTTTGATCAAGAATAAACATTAATTGATAGTGGATAAATGGTAATGTAATATTATGTAAAATATTACCTTATATTTAGACATAGATTTTCATGAGTGCAGCTCAGTGTCCCAGCTGATAAGCTCTTTTCTTTTTTTCTAACTGGCAGGTTGATGTTTAAGGTGCCTGAGGAGATGGGTTTAATAGCGATTGCTGTTCGACAAACACAAGGGAAAGGTCAGTATGTTTCCTTCTAGTAGCTAATAAATGTGTCTTAAACATATGAGATGGGACATTTTAATGTCACATAGCTGTCTTAAAGATACATGATGAGTATCTCAATACAATCTATTGGATAGTAGATCCACTTAAACTTCTTCTCCCACTTAAACTGTGGATTCAAATTTGAAACCTAAGTTGACAGAGACCAAAGTAAGCATTTTTAGGATGTTAGGTGGCTTTTGCAGGAATGATTCAGCTGCCATCACTACGTTTAGTGTAATGCAAATCAGTCCTGCAAATCAGTATTGACTCTAGTCTTGAACAAGACTGGGTCTTGACTTGTGCTGAGCTAGAGGTCGTTTGCATCTACAGGACTGTCTTGAACTGTCCTGTGCGCTTTCACAATCTTTTGCAGATAAGTACAAGCAGTTTCTGCCTGATTTCCAGGAAGATGCTGGCTCTGATTTAAAAGCCGTGCTAATTTTATTAGAATAACACAGTGCCCAACCTACTAAGCTCTTGTGAGTGCAGGTCTGCATGAAAATGGTTGCCTGGCTTTTGGCTCAGATCTCGCTAGCGTCCTGTTGAGTCACAACGTAGACAGATTTGTAGACACACACAAAATATCTTCACAAAGATACTTAAAAACACTTTAAAACAAAGCAGATTTTTGGAACACGTATGTTACAGAATACTAGGAAAATCCTGGAAGCAAGTCATTCATGATGTTTTAAGAAAATGAGCAGCAGGGCGCACGTTAAAAGCCTGCCGTTTTTTTTAAAGGAAAGGCTTTGCACTTTAACCGTTTTTCTTTCAAATTAGTTTGGAAACTCAGGACTTCACAGGACTTACTGTAGATTCTCAGATGGATACCACTGAATCTTCCTCTTTCGTTATTGTCTACATTAACAGAGTGAACGTGCTTGTATGGTTTTTTTTTTTTTTTGTGCTGAAGTTAACTTTTCCCCCTCCCTCCACAGGTCGTGGTGGAAATGTTTGGCTCAGTCCCGTGGGCTGTGCACTATGCACTTTACATATCACCATTCCTCTACATTCCAACTTGGGCCAGAGGATCCCTTTCATTCAACATCTAGTGTCCCTGGCAGTGGTAGAATCAGTTAGAACAATAGCAGGATATGAGGTATCTCATTTTAATTTCTCTCAAAATTCCTATTGCTGTTTCCATTAAATGTAGATTTTAAGTGTATGTTGAATGACCAAATGCATATTGTAGTTCTTCAGCACTAATACAGCGGTAAACAACAGCGGTAAATTTAACCTTCACACTTATCTGTTTATGTATTTTAAAAGATCTAGTTTACATATGGTGCATACTGTATCCTCTTGAGCTGATTAAGAATACTGCACTCACTTCACTCATAATCTGTTGAAACTTAAAACTCAGTCTTCAGCAGTAAAGACAGTTTCATTTTGGGTTATCCAACAATTGAGTTAATTTGTTTTGATATTTGGAAGAGTTGAGAAAAAAGGAGGAGGTAAAATGAATAAAATTGACAAATCCTTTTCTGTTTTTTTGTTGTTTTTTTTTTTTGTTAGTGCTGTTTCAGTGGTCACTTTATCCCTTTTCAAGAATTTTTCCAGCCCTTGTTTAAGGTTGAAAATTGATTTCTAAAGCACGAAGTTAGGAATATTGCTCTCAAGAGGGAATCAAGTGTCCTGTCATCAGTATTAAAATGAAGAACCAGTCTTCTTCTTCACCTCATATATCTCCTTTTTAATGTTACCATTTCCTAATATTTGCTAACTATAAAACTTTGGTATTTTACAGAAGTAGTTAACTAAAGCATATGTTTCCTATATTACACAAAATCAATGACTTATACACATTTACACATGAACTTTATTATAGTGGCACCCAGTAGCTTTGCTGTAGTTTAGGGTCTGTCAGCCTTTCTATTAAAACCTTCTAACTTCAGGTCTTCATGACTTGACTATAAAAACAAAATGCTTCAGGCTAAAATTTGCAATATAAAATATTTGGCTAGGAGTGAATAATTTAACTATTTAAACTAGAAGGGACAGAGGACTTAGTTGTATAGAACATGAGAGTCTGACTGAGGGAAGGAGTTAATTTATGAATTGAGGTGTTTTTGCTTCTGTGTGCCTACCCTGGTGTACTGTGGCATTTTTTATTTTATTCCATTCAAGAGGAAAAATGTGACTGACATACTAGATATTAATATAAAAGTAGTATGTATCAGTAAATACATGTTCTGAGGTCTACCAGATCTATTCTGACACTTGCTATCTTTCCAGTAGTTTGTTATGACCAAGACAAAGCTATTGAATCTCTTTTACAATAGAGAAACACACATTAAAAAGTCTTCTATTAATCGTCTCAGAGGATATTTGAAAGGACCAAATTCTGCTGTTAGTGATCCCAAAGGTAAAGGAAACCTGTGTATGATTATTGATAATTTTCCCATCGCCCTACGCTTGGAAAGAAAAAGGTCTTCTGTGTAATTGTTGAGAATTCTTTTTTCTTTCCTTTTTTTTTTTTCTGTGAGAAGAAAGGAAATCAAATCCTAGAAAAGGATTAAAACAGTGTTCAGGTTTGGACTCAAATTTATGTTAAAGCAAGGAAAATCAAAGATTTATCTGAAGCTCGATGCTTACATTCCCCCTTTAGACCCAGGTCCTGCAAGGGCTTTTCTTTATGTCAGGTGAACATATATGGCATACAAACTGCAGTAGCTGGAAACAATGGGCTGCGTTTTAGTTGAGATTTCATTCTTAGCTCTGAATTTCCATACCTCTCTGGGTGTATGTCAGAACCTTCATATTACTTTAACATACTTTAATGTGGTTTATGGTGCTCGAAGTCCATTGCAGGATTTCCATACAGCAGTTTCAGATGCGCGTGTCGCAGTTGATCAGCCAGTCGTCATGTTTAGGACTCTGTCGTTAACGTTCACAGTTTTAAATAGGCAGCAAGCAAGGCCCGCGAGCACAGTTCTGGATTCTCAATGAGAAAATCAGAGAGTTCAATAGTAAGCTTTATTTGCAGATGTTAGTGCTGGTAAGGCAAGTGGGCCTTGTGTCTGGAGGACTTTTTAGTTTCCCATTCTGAGAACAGTAGAAATCTCTCTCTAGTAAGTGAAAATAAGAACGTGCTCCACTCTCACTGTATTTTGCAGCCTTCCCGTACTTTCTTTTACACGCTGATAGTTGTGCAATACCTTATCTTGTCGCTCTGTTTTGCGGCAAACAGCTCAGGTCGCTACTGTGAAGATTATGGCATGAAAATAACTGACTGACTTGGCTGTTCTCCATGCTTGCTTCATTTGCAGTACTAAGTGTCGGGTGTCTTACAGGTGTATTTTTTTTTTCCTTAAATAAGATCTACGGACTATATTGCGATTAATTTGCAGAAAGGACAGCAACCTCTCCTTTGGGTGCCTTCAGAGGATCTCTTAACACCGATAACGCTGTTTGACTGTGGGAAACTCTGTATGTCTCAAGAGTCCTCTGTAAACGCTTTCGCAGTGTGAAGAGTCAAGTTGTTTTCCATAATGAATATGAATTGGTGATATTCGCCTAGAATTCTTTGATAGCAAAATCAGTTAGTGTTTCCTGTCACCGTATGTGTAATGGACTCCTCTCTGGCCTTTAAATCTGTCAGGAAAGTAGTCGTGGACCCAGGTGCAGTTTTCACACATCCTGTAAAGGGATTTCATAATCTACAATAGGGGGGAATGCGACTCTTGTAGTCCTGGAGCACCTCCCATAATTTGCCTCTTGGGAGGCAGTCATATGCAGTTTTTCAAACTCCAGGAAGCACATTTGCTTTCTTTTTGTGTTTAAGTAGCTGGTGCAAAGTTCAGCTCAGTTCTGTAGTTTTAACAAAAACCTCTCTATTGCGCTGGAATGGTGTCATACAGCACAGTTTGTGTTTCCAGCTCCACGGTGTTGCTTGAGCGTAGCTGCCGAAAGCGTGAATATTTTTAGGACGTTTGTGGAGTATTTACATAGTTGTGAACCGGAATTTCTCCTGTCTGCTGAAATTTCTGTTCTGAAATTCAAGATGTCGTTGTCTCCGTGTCTGGTTTCTGCAAAGACCCTCACGTACAGCGTTGGTGTTATTGTGGACTTACTCTGTTTAGCAGATCCATAATTGCAGCCCCAGTTTTCATCTTTCCTGAGTATGTCTTTCCAAATCCTTAGTAGGCACTCAAGAGTGAATTAAATGAATTCTGTAAAACCTTACAGTTTTGAGATGGAAAGTCTCTAATAAGTATCTCTAGTCCCTCTTTTGGCCACTCTAAGCTACTATAATCTACAGCAATTGTTTTTTTTACTAGCTACTCGCTTTTCTCTGACAGCTGCCAACTCCATAGTAAACCATGTAACCATGTAGCTATGACTTGGTCAGTAATGCTTGGGAAACACTTAGATAGGTTCCTATTATGAAGAGCTATCAGTATCGCATTTGGTGCGGCAAAGAGGAACAGAAAATACAGAATATAAGCCATGTTCTTATAGGCGATATCAGAGAGCAGAGTGTTTCTAAATGTGTATGTTCTTGTTTTTCTAGGATATTGAACTGCGAGTAAAATGGCCAAATGATATTTACTACAGTGATCTTATGAAGCTTGGTGGAGTTCTGGTAAACTCTACACTTGCTGAAACAACATTTCATGTGCTTATTGGTAAATGTCTATTTTCAAGCTTTTTTTATACTGCTTTTTCCAGAGACATTTGTCATTAATGCCTTTATGAGTTCAAACGATAAGGACAAGAACCAAATAATGATAGAGGCCTGAGGAAATAAAGGACAATATTAAGTGAAAAGAAAGCACAAACAGTACATGTCTTAATTCCTCATAATAATTTCATGTGCTTGACAAGGAGAACTTACATGCAAGCATCTGGGTTGGTGTAGTGGGATTCAAAGAAAAAGAAAAGGGCTACATACCTGCTACTGATGTTTGCGTTTCTCCATTGGTCCTTTTTTAATTTGTTCATAACTTGTTTCTGGCGCTATCTTTCCGAAAACTGGAATATTGCTAGTGAAGCAGCAGTGAAGTAATGACTTGATTACCTAATCACTCTTCCTTTGGTTCTTGGAAAAAGTAGCATTTGTAAAGTCGTTGGGAAGGCAAGGCATGATGATCGGTTTGTTCATTTATTTGGATTTTTTTGAAGATGAAGAGTCTACCCAGAAGACTGATTCCAAAAAAATAGCAAGGCCAGTCTCAAAAAAAAACCGTGTATGTGTTTTGCAGCTGGTCCCAGTGCTAAAACAACGAAAGATGTTAATAAGTATTGACATGTTTCTATCATTATTCTGTCTTTTTCAAGTCTGCTAATCAGTCTGCTAATTGGTAAGGAATATTTTTCCCTTAACCAGCAGCAGGCACAGATCTGCCACACGTGCTCAGAAACCTGCCACAGGAAGCTCTAGGTTCTGGTCCCCCCAAATAATTTATCTGTGTTATGTCTAAAAAAGGAAATGAAAGTTCCTTACCAAGTCTAGAAGGTTAAAAAAGAAGCTGATAGTACTTGTGTTGCATGTGAACATGGCACGGTATGTAAGTAGAGTGTCTTGCAAAGAGAGCGTGGACAAGATACAGTTTCTGTCAAGATGGTGTCAATTTTAAGGTGCCAACAAGCAAAACAGTTACAGTAGTCATCCCTTTCTTCAGTGAAACATGCTCGGCCATTAAATTCTCTGTGTAATTGTTATTTCCCTATTGCCCATGCCTCGCAGATGACACGGTTTGTGTAGTGGCAGGGTTGTCAAGACTGTCTGCTCATTCCTTTGCTTCTTTTTAAAGACGCAAACTTACAAACTTTTTTAAAAAGTTTTTTTTTTTTTTTCTGGAGACCTTAATTATTGGGAAACTTTCACAAGAAGAACCCTGCAGAAGAATATACTTCATTAATGTCAGGGCCGGATTATGAAAGGACCTAGGCAGCCAAACATAAGTGGAATGCAAGGGAGAGAACCTACCTGCTCGACCTGCAAAAGCTCTGCCCACCTCCTTATGCCGCTGGAGACATGTCTGTTCGGTGTGGTGGAGAACAGTGCACAGACGCTCAGGCTAGTGAATATTGTGCTAGCCCTAGAACTGGAAGGCACGTAGCCACATCAGCACACTGCAAGGTCGGTGCTAAATGTGCATTTTTCACTCTCTTCCGGTAGGCAATGCAACGACGTCCTGAGAGTCCTGAGCACCTAATATTTTTCCAGTTAACTGTCGGCGGTTTTGCCACGATGCTACAGCCCGCAGGTGGGCTCAAGGGCCACGTAACACACCCTGACAGCACAGATCGCAGCATAAGGACAGCCGTCATTCTTTCTTCGCTTGTACCGTATCTGAGTGTGAACAGCAGAGTTGTGACCTGTTAGCACGACACTTTTTTTTCTTCCAGTTAGTTTCCTTTGTCTCTTTCTGACAATGCACTTCCCCTGATTTCAGTGGAGTTGATATATTGGCATTGATATCACTGTGGCTTTCTCTGTAGGCATTCTCCGATTAGTTAAAAACCAGAAACTCCTTTTCACGGCAGAGAACTTTCTCGTAACTAATGTGAGTTAATTCTGTATATGAATAGTCTCGTAAATACCAAATTTACAAAACAGTCCATGTGGACCTTCCTGCAGAAGAAGCTGTGCTATGTCTGAACCTGATTGACAGGACTGGTGTTTTATCCCAAATGTCTGAGGACATTAAGAAACATAAATAAACAGGTAATACAATATATTTCTTTACATCCCTCGAAGCCTGTTTCAGCAGACTGCAAAAAAGGCCCCAAGAGCCATATTTAAATAAGAAAGGCGTTTTGCCAACTTTATTCTAGCTGGAGAAATCTCAGTGAGAGACTTGAGGCTTCTAAAGGATATGCTGTGGTAAGATACATTAAGCAAACCGGAGTCTTACCCCGCGAACTTAAATCTTCTGGGCTTTTCACAGCAAGGCAAACAAGGCTTGTCAGCCGAGCAAAAAGGCTTAATTTTCAGAAAATGAAATCAGCAAACTGAAGTAGACAGAAAGGACTCTTAATTAAATTTTAGGCTGCAAGATAAAACTCCATCTCAGAATACGATCCATGATTTGCTCTCAAATAGCTAATTACCTATCAGCAAATGGAAAGTTTTCCCACTTTGATGTTGCCAACCGACGTGTAACCAATATGCAAGTTACCAGTTATCTTCTTCCAAAACCTCATTGGTAGGGTGGTGTTTTGTTGGAAGGACTGCATTGGTTTTGCTTCTACAATTTTGAGGAAGCGTTTTAAGGACAAGAAACACACAAAATCTGGACTGTGATTTGTAATTATGCTGCTAGGAAGATTCAGACGTGTAAGCGAGTGAAGAAAAATATTTACTGGAAACTTCCTTAGTGATCATTGCATCAACTAGTTGAAAAATGTGCTGACTCTTTAATGGTAATACAGTATTCACACTCACAGAAAAATGAACATTTTCTATCCTGTTCTTTTGATTTGTCTTCCTCAGGCTTTGGATTTAATGTGAATAACAGCAACCCCACCATATGCATCAATGATCTCATCCTAAAATACAATAAAGAAGAGGGGACCCAGCTGAAGGCTTTAACTACAGACTATCTTATTGCAAGAACCGTAACTGTACTAGAGAGGCTAATAGATATTTTTCAGGAGAAAGGGCCCAATGGAGTTCTTCACCGTTACTACAAGTACTGGGTACACAGGTAAGTGTAACTTTCTGTTCTTCTCTAACTTTCTTTTAAGAAAGTTGGAAATAGTTCATGGTTATTTTGTCGTCCATTGTGAATGTTCTATGAGATTGCCTTCAAAAGCAATGACTTAATTAAAATGTATTCCTGAGTAGGACGTAATTGCATAGGAATAGAATTAAAATAGCACATAGTAAAATTAACATGCTAGCATAGGTTAAAGAGTGTTTCTAGGTATTTCACATGTATCATCTCAAAACAAAGGGAATTGAGTGATTTGTGTAGGTAATGATGGAGTTGCTGTACTCATGTCTTTTTGAAAAAAGTAGACAATTTGGATTAACTGTTAATTCTGCAGAAAGAAATTAAAGCAGGAAATAAAACATGCTCTTGAAAAACCAAAAGAACTAGTGACATGAGAAATGAAAGTATTGTGCTAGACAGTAGTCCTCTACGCTATTTTTAATTGTTTGTGCAGTCTCATCCAATTAACTCATACCTGCCTGGTTCTCTTTATTCGCAGTGGTAAGCAAGTCCGTCTCCACAGTGAGGAGGGCCCAATTGCGTGGATAGTCGGGATAGATGATTATGGATTCCTTCAAGTTCATGAGGAAGGCAAAGGCATACAGTCTGTGCACCCAGATGGCAACTCTTTTGACATGCTGAAAAACCTCATAATCCCAAAGCAGTCATAGTCCTCCAAGCTGACAGTGCAAAAGAAGGCTCTTTGGTATTTGGCCCCACACAGCTAAACTTGCGTGAAGGTGGGAAGGGTAGATTATGACTTGATATGTTTTTTTCTTCTAATCTCTGATATCTCTGTTCTTTGACGTGGATAACGTCACCACTTAAGAAAAGGTAATTACTTCATTGCTGAAGACCTTTATTCTTCCATGCTAATTTAAAAAAAAAACATTGAGCTTGCTGTTCTTTGTAAGCCTCTATTCTTTAACAGGAATCTGATTGCAAAGGAGTACTTAGCAATGAACAGAACTTACTGTTCATTTACACACTGTATTTAAGACACTGATGTGGCTAAATATTTCGTTTTCAAAAGGTGTCTATGTGTTTTTATTGTGCTTTAGCACAATGCAGTACAATCTTTCAGGTTTTTTCTATTTTTTTTTAAAGTAGATTCCGCTTTATGCATTGTCCATGGTGAACTAGAAAGAGCTCACCGTATATTTCTGAATTACTGGGCTTAGCTTTCTGTGTATTCAGATTCAGATCTAAGAAGAAAAACCCTTTAGAGCCTTGCAATTTGCTTCTTCTCCATGTGGGCCTGTTTAACAGTTTACCATCCTGTGCTTTGATCTCAGGTCTGCACCTCTGTCATGGCTGTCATATGTGTTTGGGGAGTTTTCCATCAGCACCTACAAACTGTGGTCATTTACACAAATTTATCTGGACTGTGCTGTTCTTAGTCAGTTGGATCTGAATAAATCATGTCCCATCTCCTCTGAACCATAGTCTTCCAAGAGGCTTTAGCCCCCTAAGAATTGCCCACTGGCTGTTGTAACTGGTGCATCACTTGGTTGCAGTGCCCTTACCCAGGTTTTTGTAGGATCCCCAGTGAGGGGTGGGAAGTCTAATCGGTGAGAATTCAATAGTAATTCTGTTGTAACAGTACTCAGGTTAAGAGATGAAAACGAGAGAAAATGCACTGCTGTCAGGATCCCTGCCGTAAAAAACTACTACAGTGAAAAAGACAAAACGTGCAGTTACCTGTGTGGACGTTCCCTTCCATTGCTACTGTTTTCACACCGTTTCCCAGAGCAGAGCAGCTGGTTGTGCTGCTGGCCATGAGAGGCAAGAGCTTTAACTTCTCCTGACTGGAGAAGAGCCTGCTCTTTGGGCTGCTGCGCCCTTTAGGGCAGGGGTGCCAGGTTGGCCACGTGTGGAAAGCATCACCACGTGGCCAAGCCTGAGCCTCCGCGGGACAGGGGTTTTTCTCCTGGGCCGGGTGAATTCACACCAACACACTCGTCACCAGAGCCCTGATTTCGCGCAGTTCTCTACAAACGAAAGGTGTGTGTCGTAGGTGTGATGTGGCCAGCTTCATTTGGCTTATTACCCTTACCTTGTCCTTAGAGAGGGTGGATCAGCCAAACTGGTCTCCACTAAACACTTGTGTCTAGTAGCCAGAAATGGGTTGTTAGGGTAAAGTTCAGCTTATAAACAACCTGCACATGTGAGTAGATTGTTTCAGTTACAAAGTTAAGAAGTCTTAAAGCGAGAAAGCTAGGCTGTAATGGCAATTTAGAGTAATCCTTACATATTAGGGTTTAGGCGGTTTGGCAGCAAGTGCTAGAAAGAAATTGAGTTGTTCCTATTATAGTTAGGATTTTATGCTCCATATGACAGTGTGTTTCTGTGTGTGCCTGCTTGTCTGTCCCCTGCTGTTTCGTTGTCCCCAGTGGTCTGCAGCATACAAGACGGCGCAGCAACATTGCATAGAAGTTTATGGGGGAGCGTGAACAGCTGTTAATTGGCTTAGTTAGAATAATATGCATGAACACCAATTTTTGCTTTTTCCCACCAGATACTGATGAAAAGGAAAATGTATTTTGATTTCAAAACCGCTTTAGGCTGTTAATTTGTGACTCCTTTATTTCAGAGTCAAATATTGATGCATGTTAACAATCAAAGGAAACTTGAGTCTCTGTTAATAAAGTTTAAATACAAAGAAAACCCTGTTTTTATATATCGGAAAAAAGTAGAAGAGGGAAAAAGTAGAAAAGAAATTAAGGCGCACAAGGAAGATGTGTAGGAGCGCACACACATCTTCCTTGTGCAGCTTCACTTTTCTACTTTTACTTTCAAATAGCTTATGAGCAATGCATGCTGCTGCTAGTCAGCTGCGGAAAGCATAGTTCTGGCACTATTTTTTCCAGTTCTGGCGCTATTTTTTCCACCCTAGAGTTTTAAGAAGCTTTAGATTTGTACCTCAATCTGAAATTTGCAGCTGAAACGCTCTCTCTGTGTTGGTGCAGTAGGATATGCCTCTAGGAAGCGCCTTTGCTCTCACTCAGCTTCCGGATAGACTGATGGGTGCCTGTACAGATGTCTTTTAATGACCTGGTCATGCATCAGGTTTTGATTTGAATTGCTTCCTTAAAACATGCTCTTCCTGTACAGGTACAGTAGAAGGATGATGGGGAAGAAATGATAAACCATACACCTGTGTAAGGGCAAAACGGAGTGCCTGCAGAACTTCCCATGGCTAAGCTGCCACAGTGTCTGAACAGCAGGCAGATTTATTTTTTTAATAGTAAAATGCTGCAATCTTTCATAGCTGCTCTCTTTCCTTTTTGGATTTCTTCATAACTTTTTTAATGAAAAGCTTGTTTTATTCTTATTTTAAACTGTAGGATTATTCTGAAAAAAATTGCGTTGGAAACAAATTCAGCATTTAATTTCTTTTCTGTAAATGAGAACTGGACATGTGGACATTTTAAGTGTGGACATGCTGGAGCATAGCTAGATGGGGTGGGAATACACCATTTTTGCCTTCACACTTGTTAGTGGCCTCTCCTTGTGTGTATAAAACTACCTGTTGTCTTGAGGAGAGGAAACAACCTTGAGCTGGAGGAAGCATTTGCTAGAAACCTGACTTTTGCTTCAGATGTACCAAAGAACTTTACGAAGAAAATTCCTGTTTCATACAGAGTGGCTGAATAAGGTCATTCTGACTAGCAGCTGTTACTGTCAAGAAAGCCAGTGTACCTTCTTATACCACACTTATCTTTAGGTGTATGGAGAAGACGGCCAGTAATCTTACTCTTTTTGTGCCAAACTTGGCACACCCAGAAAGCTGCAACAGTTTGCTATGAAAATCCTTGTTATTGTTATTCTTTAGGTAAGACAGACAAATGCGGTGCAGAACAGGCTCTGGACGTAGGTTTGGAGAATCAGTCAACTCCAGATCCAGAAGTAATGCACTGAACATTTTTTATTAAAATGTCTAGATTAGTAAAACACCTCTTTCATTGTGAGGCTGATGTCCTATCTGAAACTATTTTCTTGATGAAGTGCTTTCAAAAATCATCTACTATGGTGCCAGTATTTCTGCGACTTCTTTTTTTTCGTCCAGACTCTGTTATAAAACTTCTCGTTACACATTGTGAAAATATCTATAGAGATCGTTTACCGATAGGAAAACTCCTGCAGAGCATGCAGGGTGCAGTGGCTTGTGCCTATGTTCAGAAAAATTAAGCAGGTTGTGTACAGACAGAACCGATGGAGTTTCCAAAGATTTGAAAAAGTTTATTATACTTAAATGTAAGAGTTCATGCAGTACATCTCACAACTATTGAAATGTTTTGTAAGACTTCAGAGCATTTTTAAATATATACTTAGCAAATATAATATATTTGAAGGGCTATTATCTAGAAATAGTGTTAAAGCATTTAATACAACTTTTCTTTCTTTGCTCTTTCTAATTCAGCTGCAAGACAGCAGCAGTCTGAAAAAAGTCCTCTCTGTAACTACTTTGGAATATATGATAGCTATGTAAAAAAATTTGAAGTGCAGCTTGATATCTGGCATGAAAACGATTTGTGCTACAGAGAGCTGATTCCTGGGGGGAGCTGGTTTGATAGAAGCATTTGCATGCATAAGTTATTGTAGTGATGCACAGCACTGCTGAGACACCAAAGAAATTATATCTAGGCGGAAGTAAGAACAGAGATCAAAACCGATGGCATTCAGCAGACTGTGGTCATGCAATAAACAATACAGAAAAAAAAAGAACTGCAGTGAAGAACCGTAAACTGATGCGTTTGGACATCTTGCATTAGCATGTTTCATTAGCGACTCTGGGTTATTATCAGTCCTCCAAGACCGTTCCTTTAAAATGTAATGTGATTAAAATAGAATAAATTAAATCCTTGTATTTTAAAGTACATGAACTGTCAGATATATTACTTCAAAATAAATAATTTTTCAAAAATACAACATCTGTTATTCTTACTGAAGCTTTGTGTTTTATATATAAAAAGAAATCAAACTCATTATTCCTTTGGCTACAGGATTTTATTAATATTTTAACAGTTTTCTTTTACATAATAAATAAGCAAAAATGCCTTACATTTTTAGGGAATACATATATAATTCTGAGCATTAATAGGTTGTTTGTCTTGCGTGCTTTTTCACCTACATTTGCCAAATAGCTCATACCTGCATCATATAAAAAAAGCAAAATCTAATGTTCAGGAAAAAATGGAGTAATAAATTTTCTCTGTGTTTCTTTGAAGTATAACTGAAAGGCTGAAAAAATACTTAGTGTCATGCTTTGTGATTTTTAGAGAAATACCATATTCTGGTAGGTATCCCATTCATAAAAATAGCATTTCCATTTTACCTCAGTGATATATTCTCCGATTTTAAACCTATTGTCCACTGTGCTTAATTTCATTAAATTAGTTAAGTAGCTTTTTTGAAACTTCTGGGCTACTGCGATCTGGAGAGAACTCTGTTACCTTATCACCTTATTTACACTGCAGTGTTTCTGTTAATAGGGTAAAAACTGTGAGGCGTCAATACAGGATTAACGTTTCCAACTTTACTTCTTAGTAAAATATTTCTCCCCTTTCTCTTTCTCTCTCTCTGGCCACATCGTTTACTTACTACGCCTAAAACTCCCCTAAGACTTAAAATCTTATCAAGTCCCATGGTAAAGATATCTGTGGCTCAAATAAGTATGGTAGAGAGAAACGAGGTTACTTTCCATAACGTATTCCAATTCACACTCTACTTACGTGACATAATTTTTTCCAATTATTAAAAACACTGCCGCTGCCAGTGGCTGCACCACATGCTGCATTAAGTGTATACTAGGAACATCTGTAGTTGAACTGACTAAAAGTCTATGTCTGAACTCATGTTTTTCTCTCAACATAATTTACTCACATTCCAGATGTGAACGTGCAATTGGTATTTCTATTTTGGAACGGCAAGAAAAATGTTTCACACATTTTTTTAATCACAAATTTTTTCTGAAACCTACTCTGTATTATCATATGTGAACACATAATTGATTCATTATTTCCTAACAGGGAAAAATTCATGTATCTGAATATCACATACTGTAAAACATCTGTGGGAGAATGATGGAACACCTCCTTTACTCATGCTCATTGAATAAAGCCTGAAAGTGTGAATAACAAGGTAGACACTGGAAAATATTTTGTGGTATTTTACTGAGAAATATCAATGGCATTTTTTAACTGAGGCCAAATTTGTACGTTCCTGAAAACATGTTTTTATAATGAGAAGTACTTACAAGAACAGAAAAATACACCAGACTGACTTTGTGTGCAGCAATACCACTAATGAGGTATAAAGAAAAGCGTAGTATGAGAGAGTCATGCATTAGGTTTCTTTTTAATGATGCAAACAATGTCAGTTACTCCTTTATAGGGCATGTTTTTAATTTAACAAAATTAACATACAAGTCTTAGCATAATTGTATCTTTTAAGAAGTAAGTCAGGTCTTTATTAGTAACACTGGTTGGGAAGGCTATTAAACAAAGCCACTGTAAAACAGCCTTGTGTCTCATCGTTTAAATTTTTAAAATCAGAATGGTAAGAAAATTCACTCATAACATTTATTTAGCCCTGCTACCTTCTCCAGCTTTAGAAGAACCATAGAGTGCAGTTATACTGAATGTGTTGGTTTGGTTTTGGTTTTTTTTGTTAAAAAGTCAGTATTGTGGTAATGGCTGGGTAGGTATCTTTGTTGCTTTTTTAGCTCATGAAGAAGTCAGACAACTGTGAACTTGCAAGTGTATTGCATCAATTTTACTTCGTAATAGTCTTCTCTGTTAAGCCTTCGAACTGGAAGCAATAAAAATACTGAAAATTATTTTCAAACATATGCTTTAAAAGCGTTTGTTTACTCATAACAATAAATATTCATACATGCAAGGAGGTAACTGCATTTTATTGCTGCATATAGAGACAGAAAGTGTGTAATTAAAAAATGTTTACATTTCATTACATCCGTTTAAGGATTTTTATCTGCCAAGGTGCAATCCATGAGGAAGTACTTTTCCCTATTGCACAAGCCAGGTAAGCAGTTTATTTAGAGAGAGAATCCTACAGAGAGCCTGGTAAGAGAGAGAAAATTTGTAAAATGTAAACTAGCCTTGAACTGGGCTAAGAAATGGAGCTGAATACAGCTGAGTCAGATCTACAGTAGCCTTCCTGTAAAATATTCTCTGACTCCGATGCTGTAACGGTTGATGTTTACACATATTATTTAGGGAGTCATTCATCGTTTTATCAGGGGCACACAATATTTGGGGAAGTGGCTGAAAGACAAAGTGGACTGACTGTTGTCAGTAAAACACACATCGATCTGTACGTCTCCTCATTTCCCGATTTGGAAATTTTACAAAGTAAAAAAAAGGAGGGGAAAAAATCTATTCCTAATATGCTGGAAAAAATTTAAATGCATGCTGTATACTTTCTGCTTGCTAGTTTACTGGTGCAAATTGAGATGTGTGCAGTGTTCAGTCGATGTATTCAAACTCCGCTTTCCTTCAAGTCCAATCTGGTTTTTTGTGGTTGCGCAATGATTCTTCATATTCAGATTGTCCACGGACTTATTTGTGAAGTGCATGAATCAGTCAGATATTAATCTTACCTTTGCGTTGACAATGAGATTTATGTTTAAGGAAGTGCAGCGTGTTAAAAGCTGAACTCTTCAAATTTCAGAACGCTACCAGTAAGTTTAAAATAAAGCATAAATGTTCTTTGTACCCTTGACTGTAAAGAAAACATTTCTGGTGTTCTTATCATCAGGACGTACTTTTGACTAGCTGGTTTGAAAAACTGCACAGTCTTCTCCTAGAATCGTCACTGACACACACTTTTTAGAAGTTTCTTTTTCTTATTCCAACGTTTTCATGGGGAATAGTCTTAAGTTCCTGCTACGTAATTTTTGCCAATTTGCCATGTCAAGACCTGTAACCCCTTAGTAGGTATCTTTATATGTATTAATGTGCCGTGATATAATTTCTTGTCAAGATGAATGGTGATGGCAACAATCTCTGAACACTGAAACCTATGTTAAGTAAATCAAATTTAGAGTTAAAACAACTTTTGGATAATTAATAAATAAGCATTTCCCAAGTTTTGTTTAGTTAGTACAGCTGTATCATGGATACTAAAATCAGCACTCTAAACAAAGTTCATTTGTCAGGATGTTTAACACATGGATGGAGAGTTGATGTAAGGTGTCACACAGTTTGTCAAAAAATTATCTAAACTAGAGTGTATCGTAATGATAGAAAAATCTTGCATGTATTTTGGAAAGTAGGG